GAGAGAGCATGTGAGCAGGGGGGAGGGGCAGAGGGAGAGAGAACCCCCAAGCAGACTCCCCGCTGAGTACGGAGCCCAACATGGAGCCCCATCTCATGACCCTGAGATCATGCATGACTGAGACAAAACCAAGAATCAGATGCTTAACTGATTGAGCCACCCAGGCACCCCTATTTTATTTTATTTTATCTTATTTTATTTTATTTTATTTTATTTTAAGTGATCTTTACCCCCAACATGGGGCTCAAGCTCAATGACCCTGAGACCAAGAGTCACATGCTCTACTGACTGCGCCATCCAGGCACCCCAGATATTTTTTATTTTACAGTCAGAGTCTTTGTCACAACTATGCAACTAGGCCATTATAGCATGAAAGCAGCCATAGACAATAAATAAAAGAATGGCTGCAACTATATTCCAATAAAACTTTATTTACAAAAACAGATGAAGGTCCAGATTTGGCCTAAGGACCATAGTTTGCCAGCCCTTGATTTAGACCAGCACTATCCAGTAGAAATACAATGCAAACCACATACGTAATTTAAGTTTTTCTAATAGCTACATTAAAAGGTAAAAAGAAACAGGTGAATTTAATTTTAATAATATATTTTACTGAACCCAATATGTCCATAGCGTTATCATTTTAACATAAAATCAATATAAAAAATTACTGAGATAGGGGTGCCTGGGTGGTTCAGTCAGTCAAACGTCAGCCTTAGGCTCAGGTCATGATCCCGGGGTCCTGTGATCGAGTCCCAAGTCGGGCTCCCTGTCCCTGCTCAGCGGGGAGGGAGCCTGCTTCTCCCTCTATCTCTCCCACCCCCGCCCCCCGCTCGTGCTCTCTCTCTCCCTCTCAAATAAATAAAATCTTTTTTAAAAAAAATTACTGAGCTATTTTACAACCCTCTTTTCATCCTGAGACTTAAAAATCCCGTATTTTACACTTACAGCCCATCTGAATTTGGAATAGTCACATTTCAAGTGCTCAGTGGCCACATGCGGTAGTGGCTACTGTATTGGACAGGGTAGCTCTGTTGGGCAGACTGATATCATAAGGAGACAGTCACACAGGTAAACAACATGCCCTTACAAATTGATAAGCACTGTGAGTAGAAAGCAGAAGGTTCTATAGGCAGGGACAGGGAAACATCAAAGGAATCTTCTGGTATTTGCCCCACCCCTGCCCAAAGTTCCTTTGCAGAAGTCAATGGAACATTCCTTTTTTTTTTTTTAAGATTTTATTTATTTGAGAGAGAGTGTGTGTGAGCTGGAGGGAGAGGGGGAAGGAGAGGGAATTCGAAGCAGACTCTGCACAGAGTGCAGAGCTGGTCACGGGGCTCAATCCCAAGACATTGAGATCATGACCTGAGCTGAAACTAGGAGTTGCCGCTTAACCAACTGAACCACCCAGGCGCCCCAAGTCAATGGAACATTCTTTATTTTTTTAAGATTTTTTATTTATTTATTAGAGAGCGAGCGAGAGAGAAACAGCATGAGAGGGGAGAAGGTCAGAGGGAGAAGCAGGCTCCCCGCCGAGCCGGGAGCCCGACGCGGGACTCGATCCCAGGACCCCGGGATCATGACCTGAGCCGAAGGCAGCCACTCAACCAACTGAGCCACACAGGCGCCCTCAATGGAACATTCTTATGCCTTTTCCCAAACCCCATCCACCACACGTGCTCAGCATAGACAACTGTAAGGTGGAACATTCAGACTTTGCTGGCTGATCTTTGATAATTTTCCATCTAGGGCTCAGGAGATGAATTGCTTTCATTTCTCATGGCTTTTCTTGGGCTCCAGATCAGCAGCACAGCAGCCTGTGACCTGGTACAGCCATGGATGATGTCATGAGGCAGCACGTGGGGTCCAAACGACTGTCCCCATTGACTGGGATGGTTTTTCTCTCCAGGAGAAAGGGGCCAGCATCTGGATCAGAGCAGGAGTTGGAACCCCAGACCTAGGATGAATCCCACTCTGCCATTTACTGACTGGGTGACCTTTGGCAAGTTATTCAGTGTCATCGAGTCTCAGTTTCCCCATCTGTGTAATCGGGATAATGACAGCAGCTACCTTTAGTGATTGGTGTATCCATGGAGAGAGATGATCACGGATAGTAAGAGCATATGGGACATGGTAAATGCTAAATATTATATATGTTATTATTATTATTATTGGCCCATCAAGGATGCCCCCCCAAACTCTGAATTAATTGCTCCCCCCTCACATTACTGTAAATACTCTAGTGTTTGCATCACCTCCTCCCATGTTGTGGTTCCTCTTGGGCGTAGCTATATCTCCCACTCAGCTCTGAGTCCCCAGAACAGGAACTGTGTCTTGTCCATCTCAGCAAGATCAAAAATCTACCTGCACTTGGTGGTTTTTCCCTTTCCTAGATTCTAGAACATTCTTTATGTTCGCCATTGTGGGTTTCCCATCTCCAGGAGACAATTCCTAATGTTTCATCCACCAAACTAGGTCAGCTTCTCCCCACTTACACACTCTCAAGGCCCCCTTGAACTTTTCCTTCAAAGCATTTAGCACTTGTAATTAATGAGTTACCTGGAGAATCTGCTTTGATACCAGTCTCCCCACTGGACTGTGAGTCCCATGACGGCAGGGCTCGAGTCTGCATAATCCATCCATGAGTTCTAAGCCCACAGTGCTTAGCACATAGCAGGTGCTCAGGAAATTTTTGTTAAATGAATGAGAGACTGTCATTCCCTCTGGAATTTAAAAGACCAGAGACTGTTCTCAGAATAACAAGAGAGCTTAAGGAATTTTTGTAACTGATCTTTTTAAAATCATTTGCTCAACGTAACCATACATTTCCCCCACGTCTCTTAAATAACGAATTCTCTGTGGACCTTGTAAAACCTTCAAGCTGTGCTGTCCAATAGAAATATAATGTGATCCATGGATGTACTTTTACAGGTTGTAGTACGTACACTGAAAAACAAGTTAAAAGGATGGGCGCCTGGGTGGCTCAGGTCATGATCCCAGGGGATCGAGTGGGATCGAGTCCCACATCAGGCTCCCTGCTCAGTGGGGAGCTTGCTTCTCCCTCTGCCTCTCTCTCTCTCTCTCTGTGTCTCTCATGAATAAATAAATTAAATCTTAAAAAAAAAGAAAAACAAGTAAAAGGAAACAGGTGAAATGAATTTTAATAAGAGATTTTATTTGACCCAGCATATCCAAGATGTAATAATCACTTTACCATGTAATCGATATAAAAAATGCTGATGAGCTATTGTCCATTCTTTTTCTCGTGCTAAGTCTTTGAAACCTTGTGTGTATTTTGCACTCACAGCCCATCTCAATTTGTGCTTGCCACATTTCAAGCGCTCAGTAGCCACCTGTGATTTGCGGCTGCCATATTGGAGGCCTTACAGGAACCACTGTGGTTTTCAAATTCCTCTTCTCAGTGTGTGCTACTAGGTGTGGAGGCAAGGCCTTTCTCAGGTGGTCTTTGTAGGACACCAGATAAGCACAGCTGGGGTTTATCACCCAACACTGGACAGAGCCTGTCCCCATAACAGGAAAGAAGGAAGGGGTCGGTCATACCAAGAGGTGACATATATGGGGCTTAATGTATCCCGTGAGTTTTACAAAGCGCTTTACATGTGTTAAATCATCTGATCCTCCAGCAAGGGAGGGTGTGGTGTTACTATTCCTATTTTACAGAGAGGGAAGTAGAGGCACAGGGATTGCCGTGACCTGTCTGCTCAAGGACACAAAGATAGTAAGTGGTGGAGCTGGGATTTGAACAGAGGTGGCCTGGCTCCAAGGCTTGTGCCTTAGTTGGCCACTTCTATGAATGGACCGTCTCAGAATTGGCCCCTGTCATTTCTCCAAAATGATATCACAAACAGGACTTAAAGTGGGGGCAACTCTCTTAGATTTGCTGATTCAACAAACTGTGTTGAGCACTTTCTGTGCACCAGACAGTGCACTCACAGAGCTCACGTCAAGGGAAGGAACTTGATAACAGACACTCCTCCAAGTGGCATCACTGGGATTGGTTTAAGAAGAGCCCACCTCCGAAAGAGAGAGATTGACAGGTAGATAGTCCCCATAGATCCATCGTTGAAGTTGGATCTCACCAAAGGGAGAGGTATATCAGTGTCAGGGAGAATAAAGATGTTCCAGTGCAAAGGAAGATACTCCATCTAGGGTGTTCTCGAGGATGTAGGGACGGTGGCCTGCGGGTACCAGGAGCTCGTGCCAGCCATGTGCTGGGGAGGCCCAGGACGATGCCAGGGGGACTGGCTACCAAGAGCCAGCACCAAGGGAGCTATGAGGCCAGAGCTTGGAATTCATAGCCAGGGGCAGAGAGGGATGAGATGGTGCTGAGCCCCAGAAATGTCTTGAGGAACTTCACTTGAGGAACATCATTTTAATGAACGTCACTGGCAGAATGAAAGTCTGTGAGGAAGGGAACAAATGCATGAAGGTAGCTCTTCACCATGGGATTATCCAGCCATTTGTGTTTTCATCAGTCAGGAAGCATTTGTTGAGCTGTTTGACATCTCACGAGAGCTTTAACAATTTCTCTGTAATTTTCAGTGACAAGAAATATTCCCCAGATGTGTCCCACTTTCCCCCAGAACATGTGTCATATCTGGATCTCCAGCATGACCCTTTCATAACAACAACAATAATAGCTGTTAACAACCTACTCTGTGCCAGGCCCTGTGCTAAGTACTTACGTGCAGCATCCTTCAGTCCCCAGAAGAGGCTCAGGAGGTAGGTTCTGTTTTTCCCCCATTTTCCAGATGAGGGAAACCTTAGTTAGATCAGAGAGGGCCAGTGACGTGCCCAAGGTCACACAGCTGGAATGCAGTGGAGCCAGGATTTGAACCTGGACTTTCTAACTCCATACGTTTGACCTTCATTTCCCCTCCCCCTCCCCCATCCCATGTTTGCACATGTAGAAAATGATCATATTTCCTTGTAGACGCAGATGCCATGGTTACACATGACTCTCTCTCTTGTTTCCAAAGGTGGTGGCCCTTAGTAAGAGAAGTCAGGAGGCTGAGGCAGCTTTCCTGAGTGTTTACAAGCAATTGATTGAAGCACCAGGTAAGATACATTTGGGTTCCATAATTGGATAATTAATGTCAAGGAAGAACCAGCCATTAGGTCGTTACACAGGGACCTCCCCATAATGGGATCTAGGGACAAGCCAAGGATCCTGGGGAAGGCTGGGCCCTCCACAGGTGAGGGTTGTTGTGGGGGGTGGTGAGAGGGCCCACACCCAGTCTGGTGTGACATGTCCCCACACAGTCCCGCATCCTCCCCCACCACCTTCCAGTGTTAGCCAGGAAGCTCTGGGGGGCTCCTGGAAAGATCTCCCACCTGGACCTTCTTGGGGAGCTGAGTGTCTTGCCTGCCAGAACCCTCATCCCATTGCTACAAAGGACAGATGGTGCCCAGTGCTCTCTGCCTGCTGAGGACGCTGGAGGAAAGATCTCAAATGGTTCCCCAACATGGCACAGCCAACCTCAACCCAAAAGAACACATACTTATATGACTCTCTTTACATAAAATATGAAGACAGACAAAAATTAATCTGTCGGCACTATTCACAGTGCCCAAAAGGGGGAGACAACCCAAATGACCATCAGTGGATGAATAGGTAAATAAAATGTGGTACAATGGAATTATGATTCAGCCATAAAAAGGAGTGAAGCTTTGACACCTGCTACAACATGGATGAGCCTCACAAACATGATGCTGAGTGAAAGAAGCCAGACACAAAGGTCACATAAGCTAAGACTCCACTTATATGGAATGTCCAAAATAGGCAAATCTAAAAGAGACAGATATCAGATTGGTGGTGGGGGGGGGGTGGTGACTGCTAATGGGTGTGGGGTCTCCTTTTGGGGGGATAAAAATGCTCTGAAACTAGATGGGGGTGGGGGTTGTGCAACTTCATGAATGTGCCAGATCCCACTGAACTATTCACTTTAAAGTGGTAAATTATATGTTCTAAGAATTTCACCTCAACTAAAAAAAAAAAAAGTTAACCTGTGCTCTTAGAAGTCAAGAGAGTGGTTTCTTTTGGAGGGGGCGATAGTTCCCAGAAGGGGTCTCTGGGGGCCATAGATGCTATTTCTTGATCTTGGTGTGGATTACAGAGCTGTGAGTAGTTTGAAAACATTCACCTGTACCCCTAAGATATGTAGATGCGCCTCTGTAAAAAAGTTTCCCTTTTCCAAAATGGCCCCTCCTCTGCCACCTTCTCATTTCTTGACTCAGAACAGGGAGCCCAGAGGGCTGTAAGTGATTTGCTTACAATGGTGGGGCTGGGAGGGGACCCTCTCTGCCAGCTCCCTCCCAGTCCTTTCCGGGGCCTTCCACACAGCTGCAGGAATCAGTGCTATCTGGTGCCTGGGGCTGGGGGTTTATGAAAAAGAAAATGAAATCCCAACTAACTCAAGTCATGGAGAAGGCAAAGTCATTTCTACTCGATGTCGAGGTCGTTTCCAGGATCTTTGTGTTTGTGGGTGGGAAAGTCCCTCATTCCATCTGTCTTGGACAACTAGAGTGGCTTGAATAGTGTCTTCCCAAAATTCATGTCTACCCCGAACCTTGGAGTATGATACTCTTTAGAAGCAGGGTCTTTGCAGATGTGATTAGTTAAGGACCTCGAGATGAGACCATCTGGATACAGGGTGGGTCCTAAATCCAATGACAAGTGTCCTTGTAAGAGGAAGAGAGAACACAGAGAAATACAGGGAAGAAGGCCTTGTGAAGACAGACACAGGTTGGAGTGATGTGGCCACAAGCCAAAGAACACTTGAGGCCACCAGAAATGGGAAAAGGCAAGCTCCCCAAGCTCTGTGAGCATGTCAAAGTTTGAAAAGCACTCGCCTGGTATAGAGGTTGTTCTACCCCCTGCATGTTACAGCCCCAGGGGAACAGGCCAACCAGCTCCCTTCACGGGGGTACCCAGAGGTTGAGTGTGACGCCTGAGGTCTCACAGCCAGGAGCAGTGGGGTTCAGGTCTCCGCACGCTCAACAAATACGTCCAGAGTGGCTGCACTGTGTCACAACTTGGCTACCCAGGGGAGCTCCTGTAACAAGTTACCACGAACTAGGGGGCTTCAAGCAACAGGTATTTATTGTCTTGTAGTTCTGGAGGCCAGAAATCCGAAATTAAGGTGTCCACAGGGCTGTGCTCCCTCTGAAGGCTCTAGGGGAAGGTTCTTCCTTAACCTCTTCCAGCTTCTTGTGGCTCCAGGTGTCTCTTGGCTTGTGGCCACATCACTCCAGTCTTTGCCTCTGTCTTCACAGGGCCCCCTCCTCCCTATGTCTGGGTCCCAAATCTCCAGCTCTTTTCTCTTATCAGGACACTAGTCATTGAATTTAGGACCCACCCAGATAATCCAGGGTGATCTTCTCCAGAGATCCTTAACTGAATTACATCTGCCAAAGACCCTTTTCCCAAATAAGGTCACATTCACTGGCTCCACGCATTAGGACCTGGATATATAGTCAGGGGCCACCATTCAGCCCACTGCAGAGGGGTGTGCAGACTCCACCCTCTTTGCCCTGGTCCTACCGTCCAGTTTCCCGCTCTCAGGAGGGCAGCAGGCTGTGTGGTCTTCTCAAGGAGGATGTTTGAGCAGTGAGAACAGCTGGGGTTGGACAGTGTAGCCCTTGGGGCTCTATGCCCACCATGAGGACATGGCCCTGGGGCATGAGGCTGAGACAGCCATGTATGCAGCCCCGGCCATTGTCACGCTCAGTGAAGACCACACCAGGCATGTGGCTGAGAAGCCCTGTTCCTGGCAGGTGCTTTGCTTATATCTCTACTCTCATCAGAGTTATCTGGAAAAAAATAATTGGGAAAATAAACCCTCTAATTTACCATCAATTTTCAATCCTTACAGTCCCACAGGCTCAGCAACAAATGACATTGGAGAGTGACCCACAATAGACCCCAAAAATGTCTCCTAGGACACCCCACACAAGGCTCCTCCTCTGGACCCCATATACCTCCCCTGTAGCACCAGGGGGCAGCACCGAGACAGGTTTGTGGTTCCAGGCTCAGTTTGGAATCCCACCTGGACCACTTACTTGCTGGGTGACGGCACATGAATTAATTGACCCCCTGAGCCCCAGCCTCCTCTTGTATAAATTGGAGACTGAGCTACTCTCATCATCATGTATGTGTCTGGCTTCCCAAGAAGTGAAATTCTCTAAGCCTGGGACTGAATCATACTGAATTTGTATACCCAGAACCTGGTACACAGTAAGCACCTAATAATTGTTGAATGAATGAGAAATAAGACTCAGATGCAGAAATGGGGGAAAGGGTTATTTGAATGAAAAGGTGCTCTTTCAACTAGAGCCCTCTGCCTGTCACATGTTTATTTACTCAGATAACATTTATTAAGTGCCTGCCGTGTGCCTGGCACTTACTAGACCCTCAGAACCTAGCCATGAGCCTGCAAATGCAGACACGGGTCCAGCCCTCAGGGAGCTTGCATTCTGGTGGCAGAGGTGACCATGATCATCCCTTGGATAATCATTGCTCATGGCAAACCTAGGGGAGCGCCGGCAAGTCTAGTACTTAAGCATGAGGAGAGGCTACGGCCCCTGCTTAGAAAAGAGTCATTAATTCTGGGGTTCACCGTGAAACCTTCATCTTTGTGGAGATAGGATAGATAACACAGTCACAGGGCCAGAGTGCCAGCCAGGGACTGTGAGAGTTCTCAAGACCGGTGCAGAGCTTTCCAGAAGGTTCTCATGCCCTCCGGCCCCTCCCCCCAAAGGGGTTGTTCCAAGTCTGGTGCTGACTCCATGCTTCTGATTTCGCAACCCTGCTCCCCAGAAATGGAGAGGCGGGGGAGACGTATGTCCCTAGCTGTCACTGAGTTGGAGAACAAGGAGCCTTAACTGATGGAGACATACCGTTTGAACGGCCCCTTTAGGGGCTCTAATTCATTTTCAAGACATTTAAGAATAACAAAATGTTTTAATGATTTCTTAGGGGAATTAGGAAGACATATTTTTGTTCTCATTAAATTTTATCCTCAGACACAAGAACCAAATGTCAGATGTGGTTTTGGTGCTCGGAGCTTCCCTGCGCACTGTCCCCTCCCCCTTCCAACACACACACACACACACACACACACACACACACACACACACAACACACTGCTCCAACCCCCTCCAGAAAAATAACACTCCTGGAAAATTTGCCAGGATGCACACTCTCCTGTTTTTATATTTCTTGACAGGCAAATTATTTGTCGAAATACTTTCCACCCCCCTCCAAAGCCACACAAGTCCTGATTCAACATTTTTGTTTTGAATGACTGCTGCCAACACAAATCTTTGGCAGAGAGTGCGATATGGTGTGATGGCTCAGCAAGTATTTTGATAAGTGTGCAGCCTGTATGTCTGTAATTACGAAAGAAAACCGTAAATCTTTTGGATATTGTTCACACAGATGTGGCGTGAAGTGAGAAAAAAAGCAGTAAAACGTGTTAAAAGCATAATTAATGTCATTGTTGTGGAGGATGATTTGATTTAAACCTTTCTGACTTCTGTATCGGTGGCGGCTGATTTCTTTCTCGCACTCGCAGTCACTAGGTACCGACCCGAGCCTCACAAAGCTAACTTGTTAACTGAGTGATTAGTTAAAAGTAAAAAGGTGGCGGAGGGGGGGGCGTTGAAGGAAAGAAAGAAAAAATGAAAAAAAAGGAAACAAGGAGAGAGCAAGCAAGAGAGCAGACAGAGGAGAACTGCTGAAGAGATAAGAAGAGAGAGGTGAGTGCCCCCAGAACGGTTTTTTCTGCTTTACTTTGGTTGTTAAAAATCCAATGCAGGAGACGGCAACTCCTGACAGGCGTTTCTCTCCCTGCTTCTTCTTTCAGGAGGCAAAGCTGGTCAGCTTAGGTGCTCGAGCTGCAGAGTCAGACACAGCGGGGTAGGACTCTGTTTGGTGGTTTTGAGCTGTGTGACCTTGGGCAGGGGCCCGAACCTCTCTGAGCTCTGATTTCTATGTCTTTAGCAGAGGGATAATAATAGAAGCTGCTCGCTATTTGACATGAAGATTCACTCTGCTA